AAGAATATGGCTTGCTTCTTTCCATCTGCTTCAATGCACTTGAGTGTGGATGTAAAATTTGATATAATGAATATGCAGACACCACCTCGTACATGTTTTTATATGCTTAAGTTCATTATTTCTTTAGACTATAATAATCTTTTTATTAGTAAAATATTGTTCTGATAATTCATTTTGATGAATAAGATATTGAAAAGTAAAAAGTCAATTTCAGCTTTATATCTAAGAAAATTGTAATAAACATTATATGTATTCTAAAATCAGGTTCTTTTAATGAAACCTCATTCCAAGTAGTTGAGGTCTGTTAAGGAAGCATGTTTGGGGTGGCTTATACTAAAAATTAAGCTCCAAATCTGTGATATATTTTGGCTTATTTTTAATGTGGACCCCTAAGTCTGATTTGAAACTATCTCTATCAATGTTTTTAATCTTTTTCTCCTCTGCTGCTGCTGCTCTTTCTCCTTTCATCTATCACTATTAATTATCTTTTCTATTTTTCTTCTTCCACTTTTTATTCTTAAAAATGACTCGTCTGTTGGCTCGACAGATCTTTTAATGACAAGCCTATTAACAACGCTACAGCTGGTCCAATTGGGAAAGAACTTTTCGAGAAAGAACAGGACAACCTTCTAACAGATTTTAAAGACATACCAAAGAAGGCTTGTGATCGTCGCGTGAGTCTCAGATCATTATTTATGGAGTTCTTTTATATGTGTAGCAGTTTATCATGTTTTTTCATGTAAAACGAGGTAAAACAGATTCTAATGTTCTTTCTTATACAGATAAATGAATTTGTAAAGCGTGCTAGGGCCGTCAGCCTTCGAGTATGAGAGTTACGCAAATTATAAAATGCATCCACATTCTAAAAGAGATTGTCCGGGCTTTGTGCACGGAGGCACGCTGCGCACGGAGGCACTAGCGTGCCTCCATGCACGAGAACCGAGGCACGTCGTGCCTCTGTCCGCGTTCACGGAGGCACGCTGTGTACCGGCACCAGCGTGCGTGCCTCCGTGCACACGGATGGAGACACGACGCGCCTCCGTCCACGTGCACGGAGGCACACCGTGCTCAGCGTGCAAAAATTAAGCTCCAAATCTGTGATAGATTTTGGCTTATTTTTAATGTGGACCCCTAAGTCTGATTTGAAACTATCTCTATCAGTGTTTTTAATCTTTTTCTCCTCTGCTGCTGCTGCTCTTTCTCCTTTCCTCTATCACTATTAATTATCTTTTCTATTTTTCTTCTTCCATTTTTTATTCTTAAAAATGACTCGTCTGTTGGCTCGACAGATCTTTTAATGACAAGCCTATTAACAACGCTGCAGCTGGTCCAATTGGGAAAGAACTTTTTGAGAAAGAACAGGATAACCTTCTAACAGATTTGAAAGACATACCAAAGAAGGCTTGTGATCGTCGTGTGAGTCTCAGATCATCATTTATGGAGTTCTTTTATATGTGTAGCAGTTTATCATGTTTTGTCATGTAAAACGAGGTAAAACAGATTCTAATGTTCTTTCTTATGCAGATAAATGAATTTGTAAAGCGTGCTAGGGCCGCCAAGATACATGCTTATATTATCAGTCATCTGAAAAGGGAGATGCCTGCAATGATGGGCAAAGCTAAGACTCAGCAGAGACTCATTGATAATCTGGCTGATGAATTTGCTAAGGTTCTTTTTTCTCTCCCTCAACACACCGAGGCATCTGCACTTCTTTACATTATGTAAGCACGCCGATGTGATATATGCATAGAGTATAATCAATATGTTTTGGCTTCTCGGCTATACAGGTTCAGAGGGAACACCATCTACCGGCTGGGGATTTCCCTCACGTCGAACACTTCAAGGAGGTTTTGAGTGGATATAGCATTGATAAGTTTGAAAAGTTGAAGCCTAAAATGATACAAGCTGTCGATGACATGCTCGGATATGACATCCCTAGACTTTTAAACAATTTCCGGAATCCATATGACTAGGGATGAACAAATGCTTTTCAGAGCCAAGGCAGACATTTTGAAACCTAAAATGATTCAAGCTGTTGATAACATGCTTGGATATGACATTCCTGAACTGTTAAAGAATTTCAGGAATCCATACTATTAGGGATGAATCAATGCTTTTCAGTGAGTGTAGCTCATTTTATATACATTGTCATTTGTATTTTATACCATAATATAATTATATTATTTGAGGCTTCTAGCGGCAAATTTGTACAAGTTGTGCTATACGTTGTGGTTTTTTTCATTTAGCCCCCTAGTGAATTAGTTAAAAACCAGATTTTTAGTGGGTTTCGATAAAAGTTCATGAAATGTATGATTGAGAAGTTGATAAAAGTTATAAGTCCATGGTTGAAAATGAGTTTAAGAAAAATAAAATTTAAAGAATGAGGGCCAAACATGGCTTTATTCTAAGTCTCGTTCCTTTCGTACCAAATTGAACTCGATTGGAGACTGCCTAGCATGGAGGCCGAACATATGGGGTATTAATTTGCCCTTTTGCTTTTGGGTTTGATCAAAAGCTTCAAGATCAATTGGATTCTGTCATTTCTTCTCTCTTCTATTTTAAAGTTTTTGTATGTTAAAAGTGTCATTTTATAGAACTTATTTAGAATTAAACTAGTTTGCCAGAAAATGTTTACCCACATGGATGACCTAAACTCACATGGCGTGAGACCGATGTGGGGACCCGCGCGAAATGAAAAAAAATGCTCACCCCTCCCCCATGTGTGTGTTCTGTCAGGGAGGGTGACAGCCTCCTTGGCACACCAGCTCGGTTCACTCATTTATACACATAATGATGAAGAGTTTGATTTCTACTTTCTAGTCATCTTCCTCTATTGAAAACCCCAAGAATTCTAGTCATTTCTATCAAAAATCTTGGTTTTTGAATGATTTGGTAGAATATTATAGACAACACGCTAAAGAATATAAATTCTTAGTGAAGAAACTAATGTTAGTTTTTAGAGGAAGAAATAGAGGTAAAATGAGTTCAAATGGAGAAAAAAGAGGAAAAATGACGAGAATGCCCTTTGTTTAACAGTGAAATTGGATGAAAATGACGTTTTCAATAATAATAGTGAAAAGTATGGACGTTATGTATTAATTAACTTTTGTTATAAAGAAGTTGAGATTATTATAAAAGCCATCTACTTTCATTCTATCGACTTTGCCATATATATTTGCACGAATTTCCTTTCGTTAATAAAAATTATATGAACATAGACGAAATAAAAATCAAATGCCGGAGGCTCAGATTGCGCATTATTTTCATCCATATGTCAGACGTATGTGGAGACCCCAAAGTCACCACTTTCGCACAAGACAAATCATCACTGCCTCCTTTTAAATGCACCAGCCGGGAATCGAACCCGGGTCTGTACCGTGGCAGGGTACTATTCTACCACTAGACCACTGGTGCAGTTTTGATGTGTTCTAATAAATTTATATACTAATGATATATTTTATGGCTGAAAAATAAAATAAGATTAAATCGAATTGTTAGTTTGCTCAATTAGGATTGGATTAATAGCAAAAAAAAACCCACATAAACTTTTTCATTTGCAATATACCCCATACCTATTGGAAATCATAGAAAACCCCTATATTTGAAACTTTTTTGTGCGAAATACAACCTTTTTTGTGCAAGAAACTCCATACCGTCCAATTCTGTTAATTTAATTTTTAAAAATGGTAAAAAATTTCAAAATTTTTTTAAAAAATTGAAGTTGTGTTCTTAAACTTTTTATTTTTTTTTAAAATTATGTCAAAATCTTTTATTTGCAGAACTCACAATTCCAAACTTTATCGTTTCCCCACTCCCACCACATCCCACCCCAGTTGAGCAATCCCACACAACTTCCACCACAATGACTACCAATAAGGAGGGATTCTCACGAGAGTTAGGATGAAAACCGAAGAAGATATCATATCCTTAGTTGGTCGCCATTTCTTCCTAGTTTTGACAAAATTTGGGGTGCTATTAATGCGACACAAGGGAAAATTTATCCCCTAGTCTTTGAGACCAATCCATTGGTTGGGTTGTAAATAATGGGTTATATTTCTGTTTTCGTGATCTTTGAGTGAATAGCAAAACATTAATGTCTGAGTGGGGCAACAATGGGCAAGTTTGAAGGTGGCAAAGTTGTCGGTGGGTCGTGCTGTTGCCTGTTTTAGACCTGTTTCTTGCAATGTATAAATGTGTAAGGTGGATTATGCTCGGTCAATCAGACCTATGTAATTTGATTTTCAATTTGTGGCTAGTTTTCAGGCACAGGCATAGGCACATGCTCGAGCTCAAGTTTTGGCTTTGCACGAGCAACAAAATGGGAGAAGGCGACGAGTGTTTTGGTGCTCTTTTAGAACTCTAAGAGGGCTTCTTTTGTCTAGCTACTAACTTGAGGCTGGACGTTGGAGGGAAGGGAGGACAAAGAAGGGTGATGAGCAGTTCGATCTTTTTGCTTCTCATGGTAATGGGCGGCGAAAGTTACAAGATTCACTGCTTCTTGTGGTAGTGAGACGTATGATGTGGTGGAAATGGAGAAGAAGATAAAAGTTTTACAGGTTTGAGATTGAGAGTTGTGCAAATAAAAGATTTTGGCATAATTTGCAAAAAAAATAAATAAATAAAGTTTTAGACCACAATTGCAACTAATTTTTTAATTTTGACAATTTTTAATGGTCAAACTAACGGAAATGGACAGTTGGAGAGTTTTTCGCACAAAAATAGTTGTATTTTTCACAAAATGTTTCAAATACGGGGAATTTTTGCGATTTTTCAATAGATTGGGGTTATATAGCAAAATGAAAATGTTTTTAGAGGAATTTTCTGCTATCAATCCTTCGAATTCATCTTACAAGTTTTTGGATACTTCTAGCCCTGTTCACTGCATCTGTAATTTATAGAGACGATATTACCCCTATTTTTATTTCGTAATTACACTAAGCCCTCCAAAAACCCTGTCTTCTTCTTCATTCATTTACCGCCATAATCCAGGCCTCGCAGCCATGTCGTTTGGCAGAATAACGAGTCGGTTTTCCAGGACCGTGTTGACTCAGTGCCGCAGCTCGCAACGCCTCTGCGCTCGCCATGACCAGATGTACTTTCGGATTAGCTCGAATCAATTCCTCTCCCCCCCGGGCTCTCAGGAAAAGGTACTGCTATTTTTTTTCCCTATACAGTATGACAGTCTGCAGATATAGTTCCATTTCCTAATTTGGTGGGTTGATTTTTTCTCTAGAGAAGATATTGTGGTATAATTTTGAGATTCGAATCGCGATATCGTATAACTATTTGAGCTTTGCTGAGTCCTGGTGATTACGGTGCCAAATGAAAGTGAATGTTCCATACTTTGTTGAGTTTTTATTCTCCCTGTTATTTCAAAACAAGTTTATTTGAGCTTGTCGTTCGCAATTTGGGTAATTTGGTGAAAATTATCAATCGCAAGGTTTTAGACTTTTAGTCCGTACTCCGTAGTTTTGGTGGAGGTTTAGGTTGCTGTAGAGTTGTATATCTCCAGCGACTAGTGGATTAAAAACATTCCAGTTTTGAGACTTTGATATTGGTCCTACCTTTGTTCACGTTTTTTTTTTCAAAATATGTTGGCATTTTGCTCTCTGTTCATTGATTTTAATTCTGGACATGGACGGGTTCAATTTTCTTGATGTGAGTTTGTTCCTCGTCCAATAATGTAATGTATTGTCGGTTTGGCTAGTTTGCATAGAGGATAAACGTCTGGTGTCTGCTTGGGTGGAATCTGTACAGAATCAACCACCAGCACCTGTTCTGAATTTTCCTTTAGTCATTTTTCTTTCTTACTCTAATACAATGAAATTGTTGCTTATCAAAGAATGAGTACCAAGTCCTTGCTTTTTCTAATTTAGATGGTCTCTGTTCAGGTGTCTCTGCTAGGTCAGTCAACTCTAAATTCATCCACCTTTCAGTGGTTTGGATTCTCATCATCTGCATCCCCACATTCCAATGAGAAGGAAAATGCTGAATCTGAAAACAAACAAGAAAATAAGAGAGATGACAGTGCTAATGCTGCTGCTGTCGATGTTCCTGATCAGTCAGAGGCATCTGTTTCGGACAAGAGAGATGAATCAGGTCTTAACATGAAACCTCCATCTAACTTGTCTGGATCTGCGAAGAGGAGGAAGAGAGGAACTAAACGAATTGCTTTTTCTGATTCAGATTCGGATTCGGAGAATGACCTTTCAAGAGATGACCTGATGAAACTTCTTGCTGAGAAGGAAGAACTTCTGAAAGTCAAGCAGATGGAGCATGAGCAAATGAAGGATAAGGTTCTGAGGACTCTTGCGGAGATGGAGAATGTGAAGGACCGTACTAAACGTGAAGCAGACAATGCTAAGAAATTCGCCATTCAGGTTTATGGATTTGTATTTTAGTTAATATTAATGCTGTCAGGGGGGCATACGGGTCCCTCCTTATTATCCTTTCAGTTCATTGTGCCATTTGTTTGATTCTTACTAGAGTATTAATTTGAAAATTTGAATTTCGCTGCAGAATTTTGCAAAGAGCCTTTTGGATGTGGTGGATAACTTGGGTAGGGCTTCATCTGCTGCAAAAGAGAGCTTTTCGAAGATCGAAACTTCCAATGATGCTGCTGCAGCCGTTTCACAACTTAAAACACTTCTCGAAGGTGTTGAAATGACTGAAAAACAACTAATAGAGGTATTATATTTCGGGTCTAAGCTGTATCCTCTTTCTTTCCTTATCATGCGTGACCTGCTGATAATACTATATTTTAGGCAGACTAATCTGTTAAACACAAATTTATAAAAATCAGAGTAGCAAATTTCGTGGATCACCTTTGGGTTCATCTTAGCACTGGTACATGCATATCTTGGGTACCAACAGGATTTGTTAGCACAAATGGTCGACATTTTTATGAAGTCACTTGTATTTCTAACCATATGTTAACAAAAGATATGATACTTGTAATATATCATGATGAGCTGATTGCTTCTTTATCAGAATGGCATAGAGACATGAATCACATTTCTTAATTCTTCCGTTTATGAATAGATGCATACACAAATAATCATACAGACCAATAAAAGTGTTGATCTATTTGTAATTTGCGAAGACAGGGTGAATCATAATAGTTTAAGTAAGAACCCATAAAGATATGCGTTATGCTAATTTGCTTGGCTGAGAATTGATCATGAGAATATGTAATGAAAAGCTACCAGGCATGCTTTTGCATAGATAAATTTTGATGGAAGATTAAAATAGTTGTACCATCTTGTACCGAGACTCGAGAGTGTGCATGTTGTCTGCTAATGCTCAATTGACACTGGTACTGCAAACACGAGTGTCGTAATCAAACTGTTTTGGTTAGCTTCATCTTCTTCAGATGCATTTCTAACGTGGTTGATCTGACATACTGATTGGATTCTAGTGTCTCCTGGCAAGTTGTAGTATCATGTAATTGAGTCGTATGGTGAGAAGCCTTGTGATCAACATTTGTTTACCGGTGAAATCACATGCTTGTTATCTGCAGGCATTCAAAAAGTTTGGAGTAGAGAAATATGATGTTATGAATGAAGAATTTGATCCGAACAGGCATAATGCTGTTTTCCAAGTACCAGATGCTTCAAAGCCAGCAAACCATGTCGCAGTTGTTCTAAAGGTATGCACATTTGCCAGTTTGTATACCTCTTACTTACGGTAGTCTTAATAAGCCCCTGTTTGGTCCCAGGGGCTAAATCTAAAAAGTAGAGAATTATTTTACAAAAAATAAACAGTTGGATACAGTTTTTTGCATAAGCATCGTCTTGGATGCTGACTTTCCTTTATTTGTTTGGAGGATGAATTCTATGGTTGGGATCAAGATAGAGCTTGTATGTTTGTTTGTATTATTTATTTATTTTTTTTAGTAGTTGGGTGATTTTTTCTCCATTTTTATAATATTTGATCCTTCAGCAATCAAAATGCATGAACTACAATCGACATCTAGCTCAAATTTTATCATTTTCTCTTTCATTTAGTTGAATTCTCTTCGTGAATTGAGATTTCTTCTAGTTTTATGATTCTGAACTGAAAATAACTTTGCTGGGTATTTTAAATACTTAATTTTTATGTAGGAATTAAATGACTTAATTTTAATATTAACCTAAACCAACCTGATTCTATGTGTTCCTGATGCAGGCTGGATACATGCTCCATGACCGAGTTATACGGCCTGCCGAAGTTGGTGTGACGGTAGCAGTCGACAATGTGGATGCAGATAAAGGATCTGAAGGCTGAGAAAGTCTCTTTACATTGCCCCCATACACAAAATATTCAGGTGCTCATCCCGGAAGAAGACGATGTTCCTTCAATAAGCTTTATGTTCGGTTTGTCCTGCGTTTCTTAGCTAAGATTCATGTCACCAAAATTTGTGAACATCTAGAGGTAGAAATCTAAAAATGTTTACGTGCTGTACATTCAAGTGTCTACCCACAACACTTCCATTATCTTGTGTCCGGTTCGATGTGGGGCGGAAAGTGTAGAGAAACAGCTTTTCTTGGATGTTGATGAAGGTAAATTCAGTGACTGAATTGTAAGAAAATCTTAAATCTAACAAAGCTTGAGGATCAACTATTATACATATATTAGGATCAGGAGCGTTGCAGCTTGACACAATTGCATGTTTGGGAAGAGTAAATTTTAAAAATTACCGTAGGTGAATAATAAGTAGGTAGCGGTTGTAGTTCTACGAATTGTGTGAAGAAAAATTATATTCGATTGGAATTGATTGTAATTTAATTTGAAGCACTAATAATAAAATTTAATTTGATTTTTATTCGGCGTTAGGTGTGATTATTACACGGACGAAATTAATCTTAGTTGTTTGTCCTCTTTTAATCAACCATATGAAATTGATACATTATAAGATGTTGCCCCCATGGAACATCTCTAAGTGGTAAAAGGGGAAGGTGGAAAAACTCAAACTTTGTTTGAGGCTGTCGCGTCAAAGGTTTGAATCATGAAATATGGATTTCGCCCTTGGGTAAGTGCAAGTGTACAAGTAGTCTTCAACCATATACCCTTGGAGGCATAACTTGCGATTTACCTCTTTCACCAAGGTCCAGTGCAGGTGCGGGACGCTAATGATGCGGTTCATCCTTTTATATGAGGTTGGTTTAGACCATATTAATGAATTAAGGAAAATTTCACTTATAATTAAAGAGTAACTCACAATTAAAAATTATATCACTTAATTAAAAAATCATTTATAAACAAAAATTCCTTTATAAGTAAAATAGTTCACCCATGTCTTTTTCGTTGATAAAATATTAAAAACTCTGATCTCCATGGCTCACTTGATCATATTAGTCAATTTTGAACATGCATTGCATGTTACTATGAAATGTTTTATATGTACCGTAAAAGTAATATTTGAATGTTCATGAATGTTAATTAATTTAGAATCAATACCAGAAAATATATACGTGACAATAAATGTTACATCATTTATTTAATTTTCAATTAAGTAAAATTAGTTGTTAATTGACATATATTGACGTAAATAATGAAATGTATTCTTAAATGTGAAATTCTAATTAAAATTAATAACATTGAAATGCATAAATGAAGGTGAATAATAATTAAATACATGTTAATGTCAATTAATTGAGAATTAATAATAGGGAATTCATGTATTAATGAAAGCGCACAGATTAAATGAATCAGTATGTATATTGGTAAGTAAATGCTTAAATAAATTAAATATATATTGAAAAACAAAAAATAAAAATATTATTGAAATAATTGAATTATAATAAGGTTAAAATCGTCCAAAAAATTATTCTCACTTGATTTGTTATTTAATATATTATAATTATAAATAGGTGTAGACCGTAGTCAATAAATGTAACCCTTTGATATGAGAAAGAAATTTTGTATGATGAGCACTATCAAAATAAATGGCGTAAGATCTTCTAGCAAGGGCAGAATACGGAGAGATGCCATAAGTGTGAATAATGGATCGAACAAAAGATCTAAGGTTTTCAATGGAAAAAATGTTTGAACTACTTCTCTTAACAGAGTTCACATTTTAAAATTGAAGCTAAAATATCAGAGCTTATAGTATCAAATAGAGTCATTAGATCCATTTATTGCTTAGACGAGCAATAAAAATGCTAGATGTATACTCGTAGCTTGACATTTGGTGTGGTGTTAAAAAAGGATTAGAGGGAAAATTATTATTTTTTAAACTGTCCAATAGTGTTGCCACTTGACAAAGTGTAAAGAATGATGTGCATGTAGCATCATTGGACGAGCAATCGGAAATGAGTCACAGTCTTGAATCTTGAGGAGACGTGTTAATGAGTAAAATCCCATGTCGATTATATATGAGAATATTATTCAAACTTCGATACTATTAACAAAATTGACCTTTTAAGACGATTGATATACTCAAAACAACTGGCCATACAGGGTTATATTTCATGCATTCCTATCTTGGCAGTGGATATGAATGATTACATACCTTAGCATTCATGACAAACCATCATGGATGGTAAATGCCTTTGTTTGGTAAGATAGACGATGTTATAATAATGAATAATTTAGAGATCCAAAAAAATTAAGATCTTATTAAACTTCGTCCATTAATTTATACCAACCATGTCTGTCATGTTTAGACACGATCTTTGTATTTTTGAGCTGTAATCAAATAACAATATGTAATGTCCTAAATTACTTTTCAAGATACAAAAGCTCCCCTTGGTATTTTCCCGTTTTTTCCCAAATTGAGTGACTTTTTTTGGGAGACATCCTAGTATGTTCATCCCCCCGCCCAAGAAAATGGGTAGATATTAGAAGGAATGAAAAATAAAATGCTGTTTTTACAAATTATGTCATCCCTCCTTTCATAAAGCTGTAAAAGCAAATGCAAAACAAAAGCTAGAGATTTGTAAGCATTCACCAGATTTCCAGGAGTTTTGCCCTACAAAATCGACGTTGGAGTATGGTAAAGCTCTTAATGAATTGGTGATCGGCCAAATATTTGTCTCAACGGTTACCAAATTTCTGTTCATTGGAATATCTGGCCAAGCTTCAAATAGAGTACTTCCTGATCCTCGAAGCTGAGGTTTCTTATTATCTGCAATGGATAAATTTCATGAAATTAGTCGATTACGTGTAACATAGAGTTCTGCAGTACATGGACATAGAACTGACTCTCCACTCTCTATTAAGTTACGAAAATGAGTTACTAACCTGGTCCAAGATCATCTCAACCGTGTTGGTTTGGGGGATGATAAATGACTGATGATATATGTAGGCAAATATGGCCATAACCATCTGGGTGAATATGAAAAATATGTTAGTTGTTCAATAAATCATCTACACATCTAAAGGAATGATTATGATGATGGATATCATTTGCTAGGTTGCAACATTAGGGATTGTGTAACTACGTTATTTGAAACAGAGGAATTAAAATACACTACCACCATAACTACAACGGTTAAACGATCTATTAGCTTGATAACTTCGCAACATCAACTCATCAAGTGAAGAATTTACAGAAATTACAACGAGATTTTACTTTAAACTACACTTCCCTGTCGCTTAAAGATATACATATCATGGTAACCTTTTTTAGGTCGCAACACGGGTTTTTCTTACTGCTTAAAAGAAATCATCAATAAGCCACCTCAAGCATCAGAACAAGAATGTTTGAATTTGAGCAGCTTACCTGGCAATCCATTCTATCTGTGAAACCACCATGTCCAGGAATGATATCGCCAAAATCCTGGAAAATTATATGTTAAAAAGGAAGAGTTAAACGGAAGTAATTGCTTATCCTACTTCAGAAAATTAAATGAATATGCACCTTGATTTTAAAGGCTCTCTTGAAACCACTAGCAAAAAATCCTCCAAAAGGTGCTATAATTGATGCAAATAAACCTAGGCATAAAGCATGCCACTGGACTGGCAAGACCGAGATTTCCTTCCACGGGAACTGGAGAAATTCAATGAAAAATCCATTCAGTATTGACCCTGGTAAGAAATGTAATGACTCGGCCTCTCACCGAAGCCGTTATCTTACGCTTTGGGTTGGGCTTCTGTCCACTTATCCCCTCACGGCTTTCTGACGCGTCCCCTCAGGATTCGAACCCAAGACCTCCATCATATGGGAGACTTAAGTTGAATCCTAATACCAATTGGGGTCGCGTCAGAAAGCCGTGGTTGCCCAATTGGTACCAGGATTCAACTTAAATCTCTCATATAATAGAGGTCTTGGGTTCGAATACTAGGGGAACGCGTCAGAAAGTCGTGAGGGGATAAGTGGGCAGAAGCCCACCCCAGAGCTGACAATACGTAAGATAACGGCTCCGGTGAGAGGCCCAATTGGTACCAGGATTCAACTTAAGTCTCCCATATGATGGAGGTCTTGGGTTCGAATACTGTAGGACGGTCAGAAAGCCATGAGAGGTAAGATGAGCCTAGGCTCTCCCGAAACGAACAGTACGTAAGATAACGGCTCCGGTGAGAGGCCGGGTCGTTACAAAAACTCCATTACAAAATTTGAAGATCAACTTACCCACTGAGGAATCCATGCAGGTAAAGGATAATACTCCGGCTTGAACAGTGGTCCGGGATCACACTGAAGCCAACCAGTTGATAGATCCTGCAGTCATTTCGTAGACAGTAATTCTCCGCAGCTCCATTATTTATCGTTACAAACTTATAGAAAGAATTACCTTTCTTGGGCATGTCAACCACTGAAAACGGCCCAGAATATTTGCGAGCTGCATATCAAATGTTGTAAAATTCCCATAAACACCCATCCGCAATTCTGTAACTCTATATGCTTATTATATTTTCAGATCTCGTTTGATATTTTGCCTGTCAGTTTGGTTGCATGACTAGTGTAATAAATTTTTCTTTCTAGTTAATTGTTACCCATAAAAGTCTTCCTTTTGTAATTCTTGGACATAACAATCATACAAGTTACATTTTCGTTTTACATTCCTGTCTATAGTTTCTAAGTAATAATATGTTTACCAGAAATGCGGATAATATGGTAGCAACAGATGCTCCAATAAACCCTTCTCGGGTCTTCTTCGGGGATAGCTTGATTAATGGTGTTTTACCAAAGAAGAAGCCACAAAAGTACGCAACCACATCATTGACGGCTATAAGGGATGCCGGAAGAAGAAACCTGCATATTTAAATGCATTGAAAATAGTTTTAAAAGAACAGAATACAAGTCGATTCTCATTACAAACGGCTCTATGGAATAAAAAATTTAAGCCTGTTTTTGGCTTATGCTTATAATCTGTTTATAAACACTGAAATCACTTTTTATCCACACATTTCAAAGAATTCTCCACTCATTGCTATATAGTTATAAGAAAAATGCTAAGTGTACATAATTATTGTACACATAACTCTCACACGGGGTGGTGTCCACACCCCATGTGAGGGTTATGGACACCCATATGTACAATAATTATGTACACCAAGCAAAGTCTTAGTTATAATTTAAACCATTTATATACTCTTTCAAAAACATTTATAAACATTTCAAGGAATTTGACGATATACCTTGTATATCAGAGAGACTAGTTTAAATTAATAATTCCGTAGGTCTATTACCAGAATATGCCTTCGAAAATGTTAGCAACAGTGAAAGAGGACTGTACGAAGACGACAATAAGAATCATATGCGTCCATGCATACTGACCAAATTGATACTTGTACATCTTCTTCTTCAAGCTAAGAATGAACCACATCATTCCTGTGATAGATACGAGTAAACTTCATATTCTCAAACATCATATGCTGTTAACAGGAATGATAAAAGTAATTGACAAAGGCGCTAAGATGACCAAAATAAAAAATTGATGTCCAATAA